TATATATATATATATATATCTGCAAAACTTGAGCATCTATACAAATATATATATAGTAGTTTCTCTAGGGGCAAAACTCAACAGATATTTATGTATCCACAAACGCGCAGACCTTGTCATTGACTGGGATTTTACGAAATACCAATTGTCTTATTCAGTATCCAGAGTGTAAGAGACAGCTGAATTGCAAAAATTGTATGAAGCCATGTCCTATCTAACATAAATCCATACACTGTGATTCCAGCTCTGTTGTGCTCAAAGTATGACACTGCAACAAATTTTGTCGCAACCGCAATCAATAACGCGCCACTTCATTACCAAAGATGTAAAAGAATTCAAGAAAATAAGCCCCAAAAAGAAGTGCTAGATTTACCTAGTGCTTGTCTCTTCTGGTAAGATATTGTATGAGCATGAACCGGCACCATATTTGTGTTGTCCAAAACATCATCTCCGTCTCCTTCCTCATCGGTGTCCCAACTGGAATTGATAGGGTATACAACCTGAGTTGTTGCACTCTGACCCGTGGGAGTCTCATTATCTATGTCATCAAATGAGCTGATTGTCGCACAAGCATGCCATTTGGCAGCAAGTGATGTCACGGCTTGCGCTTTGTGTGTGATCTTTGCTGCACTACGCAAGCACATGAAAAGTCCAGTTACCAAAGTAATTGAGCTCAACTGCATCACAACAAGTATACAATGTCAAATCAATGCGGCTATGTAATCAAGAAAATAAAGAGATTCTAAGTACAAAAAGACGGTGCATGTGAATGAAGGATTATATACATACCGCAAGTTCACCAGCTGTAAATATGTTTACAGTGGAGCTAGGCTCAGTTGTAAGAAGCAACGCAAGAAACTGACTTACGGTAACTAGTATGAGAGTTGACAAAATGAAAACTCTGAATCGATGGCTAATGACACGAAGATTTCTTCTGATTCGGAGATGTTCTATCATGATCGTTGCAACATCAGATTCTTTCTCGAAAACTTGAGCAAAGTCTTCCAATCTAAAGATCTGAAGGCAGCTTATTAAACGGAATAGGACACATACAAGGAAGGAAATTGATATCCGGTAGAGCCAGGAACATATTAACAATATGCATACGAAGGTATTGCTCAAAGCGGCATTGTACAGGTAAGGAATTTGGGTTCCCCCTGAAGAAAACCACCAGATTTTGTATATACTCTCAGCAATAAAAGAAGGGAGAACAAAAGCTGACAGGATCTTCATCGACCTCTGCACGACAAAAGGAGAAACTGTTATACAGCTGAGTATTAGTAAATGCTACGGAAAGCAGCTGAGTTTACTCAAACTATCTCTTTGGTCTTATTCTGCATAGGTGCAACCTAAAATCAGAGAAACCACCATATTTGCCCATTCTACAACGATAAAATAAATTATCACTACTTTCCCCCAGTAAAAGCAAGGGCGAGCACTTCAATCGATGAACCAGATGTGTATCGAGGCCAGCTTAGTATCCGAGCAAAACTCATGATTTGGGTTAAAAGGGTCTAAATAAATGTTTGGTTCTTTGGAAACAGAAAACGCCAACATACGTGTTTGAAGTGTTCTCCGTTGCTAGTAGCATCAGCAGTATTTGCCTAACGCTAAAAATACTGACATTTCTTAATCTACTTAAAACTGATGATTCTCCAATGACTGTCAACCAGGCTCAAACTTTTAATACAAATGCAAAACAGGAAAATATTAGCTTAAATCATATCATCTAAAAGCTTAAGCTATTAGAAAGAAAACACTTTTATTTACTAAATCATATCTTCAAACACATCCCCTTGTGCGGTCATGATTGTTTCGAAAGGCCAAGCACCTGTAAGTTTTTTATTAATTAAGGGTGGAGTGTGAGATTTGAACTCAAGACATCTGCCTAATATCACATCGATATAAACACGTCATTTAAAAGCATAAGCTATTAGAGAGCACGCATGTTTATTAGCTTAATTATATCTTCAACAAGAAGAATGGGAGCCTTGGCGTAACTGGTAAACTTGTTGCCATGTGATCAGGAGGTCACCGGTTTGAGCTGTGGAAACGGCCTCTTGCAAAAATGCAGGGTAAGGCTACGTACAATAGACCCTTGTGGTCTAGCCCTTTACCGTACCCCGCGCATAGCGGGAGCTTAGTACACCAAACTGCCATTTTTATATTTTCAACAAGCACCAAAGGACTGAGCATACAACTGATCTACTTGTGAAAACTTGAAATCATCAGCAAAGAGGAACAATAAAGACAATTTGAATCAATCCCAAATTCAGTATAGTTCAATTATTTTCTAAATCTAACTTAATAAACATAACAACAAATCTGCAAAAAGAAGAGTAACAAGAAAAGGGGCAAACAAACTTATATACCCAACATATCTCCCGTATCTTGTTGAGTGGGATTCGCCTAGGGTGTCACATATACTCCCTAGGGACTCGGCATCCTGGTTAAGGTTTGCCCCCACCACCATTCAAGGTTGCACGCGGAGTAGCTCTGATACCATACGTAACAGCCTAGTCCACTAGTGATATTGTTCGCTATAGGCCAAGCCCCACACGGCTTTAAAACGTCTAAGGCATGTCTACTTATATACTAACATCTCTCCCGTGTTTTGTCGATATGGGATTTGCCTAAGTATCACAAATTATTTTCTAATTCTAACTTAACAAGCATAATACAATCTGAAAAAAGAAGAGTAACAAGAAAAGGGGGGAAAAACTTACATGTAGCTGCTGAGTATATTCTTGTTGAACCTTTTCACTATCTTCATACAATCTATCAAGAAACAAAAATCTTCTAATCCCATATTTCCTAGAAAAAGAAGAGAGACTAACAAAAGACAAAGTTGCAAAAAGTGAAAGAGAAACTTGAACAACAGCATCAAATGGCCTTTGATGCATAGAATCACAGCTTTCACAAGCAAATACAAAATGAGAAACTAATGGAACCCCAATCGTTAAAATAAAAAATAATGACCAAGAAAGACCAGCTCTCCATATATTTGATTGATCAAGAAAAACCCAAGTTAGAGCTGATTTAATTTTCTTGATTTCTGCTGAATTTTCATGGATTGAATATCCTGAAGAAAGTGCTTCTTTGCTAGTAGTAATTTGTAATAATCCTGTTTCACCTTCTTCCATTTTCTCTTTTTGAGGTACGAAATTCAATCAAATGAACATAGAAAATTTCAAGATTTCAATTTGTAGAGACAATTAAGCTGACTTGATTAATATGTTTTAATTTCCCAAGTGGGAATTTTGTACCAAGATCAAGCCTTGCAGATGTGACTTGAACCAGAAAGCTATATATATATAATTGAATAAAAAAAAGGGTGACACAGATGGCAAATAAAAATGGTAGCCGATACTGTTTGATGTTGACAAAGACCAATTTTTTTAAGAAAAGAAGAAAAAGCAAAACAAGATTAGTAAAGTTTTAGATTATGATAAGTAGATATCTATTATTGTAATAGTGCTGGTATATAAGATTGTGAGTCAGATTCAAGATCTAAATTTTATTGGTTCAATATTTAAGATTTTTGACATTAAACTCATTATACTTTTTAAGTTATGAGTTTATATCTACTGTTTCGGAAACGCCTTTCTACTCGGGATAGGGGTAACGTTGGCGTATACTCTGCCCTCTCCGGACCCCATTTGGTGAGATTTTAGTGAGGTGTTGTTGTAGTCAGAGACAAAAGCCGGAATTTGAAGCTTATGGGTTCAGAGTTCTAATCTTTTTAAGTTATTAGATTCTAAATTAATAATTTGTATATATTCAATGAATTTTTAAGATAAATACATGGATTTGACCAAAGTGATTGGGTTCATATCTACTATTTTCTATAAATTCAATAAATTTTTACTTATAAATTATACTTCGCGCAGTAAATTATGAGTTTCAAGAGAAAACACTACATTGGCCACTGATTGTGAGGAAGTGAAAAGGGACAAATGGAAGGCATAGGAAACATTAGGAAGAAAGAAAAGAAAAAAAAGGTGGGAAATCACAGGTTGCTTGGTGAAGTGGAAGGTGAGATTTGAGTAACTGGCGCGTGAAGCTTTTCTGGAATATGAAAAGTGAAGGGACACCATTTCTTTTATGAAAGTGATGGGAGGGGTATAAGTTACTACGTGTTTGGCCTCTTTGGTGTCTGCTATGAGTCAGGGCTGTTCATGTGCTACATTGACCTCCAAGATTTTTGTTTTAAGGTGGCAATATATAGGCCAAAATCTGCCCCAGGGAAGATTAGTATAAAGCGGCATCGAGGAAAGGATTGGCCGAGGTCAACCAGGAAGTATCAAGGTTCGTGATCGAGGAGCTAATCATGGCCGAGGTTGACTGTTGTGTCAATAGTTGTAATGGTCACTATTTGAAATAAGATATTAAAGAGAATATTCCCTTGGATATTTCCTTAAATTGTACTATTAGGATTATTAGGAATATATCTTTTATAAATAGAAAAAGAGATAAGGGGATAATGTATGTAATATTGATTTGATAAGAACACGTTTTGAGAAGAAAACTCTCTCTCTCTAGCAAAGATACAAACTCTACTTTTTTACTAAGATTCTTTCATCTATTATTTTATACTTTTTCAACAGATCTGAGAATAGTACCAATATTCTAGGATTTGTCTCTCATTCATCACTATCAGAAAGAATAATCATCCACCACATTTAATATTGGGTGAATCATTCTCCTTATTTACATAAAAGCCATTTATTGCTTGATGTCTATCTATTATTGCTCAAATCATTTAGAATATTAAATGCGCACGCTTTTCAGCTCCCAACCAGCATTATCTCGTGTTATGTATGCTAACTAGTTATAAATCTTGAGCTATTATCATTAACTAGGTTCAACCCTTTATTACATAAGATATAATAGTTCAACCGAAGGTATATGTTATTTTTTGGTCAAGCAATTTGGCGTCGTTTGTAGGGATCTCCTAGTTAAATTTTTAGTTTCTTCTAGATCTATAACTAGCACGGGTTGCTAACAAAATAAAACACAAAGAACAAAATTTCTTTTTCCTTATACACACAGATCTAACATGGCAAGTAATGGAGAAGAAAGAATGAGGGTAGTGACCGACCTCCCCACCAATCTCTTGAACACCATTGTTAGAATAGTTATATAAATAGTAGTAAGTAACCCTAATCCCATATGTATTAGGAGTAGGACATGTTATGTATATATATAGGGCTCATTGTATCATGTCTAACATATGAGAATACTATCAATAATATTTTTTCCCGTGCATTCTCACACGGTATCAGAGCTTTAGTGAGAAACCTATTGTTGTGCATCATTCTAGCGACTTCCGGGAAGAAAGACCTCGTCGTCGTACAATTTTCCGGCGACTTAGAAGGCTGCCCGTAATCACATCAATTTCTGTTCGTGTGTGCAAAAAACCAACACCACCACAACAACCATCAATGAAGTCTCTGAGATAGAAGGCGAGGACATAACGCCTAATGCCTCTCACAAGGGAGGCGGGTCGCCCCTCGCTTACGGCAGTATCGCAACGTCCCGCGGTAAAGGAGCTTCTACGTCCATGACAGAAAAGACGCCACCAGCAGTGAAAAAGCTCCTTGAGGCCTGGCTATCTGACACGCTAACCAACATCCTCAATAAACCCGCTCAGGAGACAGTTAGAGAAAATGCAAGGACTTGCATTACACCGACAACAGTCGAGCAGCATGGCCTTTTCCCTCTAATAACAGGTATTACTCACACCGTTAATAATGCAGGTGACGAAGTCCTCACAACCATTTTGAAAAGGAGGAAATAAAAAATGAGAATAAAGTTACCAAATGAGAGAGCACCAAGAAAGGGTCGACAAAAAATCAGGTGCCCCGAAACTCTTGCCAAAGAGAAATGTTGGTCGGTTTGCCGAACAACCATACAATGATGAAGCCGCCCCGCATACCATACTAAAGTATATGATGATACGACAGATCCCGAAGATCATGTGACTCATTACGTCAGCGCTGTAAAAAGCAATGACCTCGACAAGGAACAAGTATCCTCCATCTTGTTGAAAAAATTCGGCGAGACCCTCACCGGAGGAGCATTGACTTGGTATTCACAGCTGCCCGCGCGCTCCATCGATACATTCGAAGAGATGGCCGACAAGTTCGTAATGGCCCATGCTGGGGCAAAAAAGGCAGAGAGGGATTGAGGGACTTCCTCGCTCGATTCAACCGAGTAAGGATGATCTTACCAAATGTTTCGGAAGGAATGGCCGTCGCAGCTTTCCAGAACGGGCTGAGCAGGAATGGTTCAAGGGCGACGGGGAAGTTATTAAGCCGACTCATGAAATATCCTTCGACTACTTTGGATGAAATACATAACGCATATTATGCCGAGGTCCGAGAAGACGAGGACGATCTGAATATATGAGCCACCCCATCGATTGACCTCGGTACAAGTCGAATCTAAGAAAGATCGAAGAAATGATATCATGAGGGATCTCGTAGCTCTATGGCTCAACCGAGAAAGATATTAGCCATATTTTAGAAGCACCATTGTTACCCCTTCCCACCACGAAGAGGGCTCGCCTAGACCAAGGACAGGGAATAATCGGAACGAGAGAGGTATGCCCTATTTGTTATCCACTCACAATTTTTATGTGTCACGTTCAGAAATAGTCTATGCATCGGAGAAGCTTGGACCAAAATTAAAGTGGCCACAAATGATGAGATCAGATCCAAGCACCAGAAAGTCAAACGCCCTCTGCGAGTTCCACCAAGAGCGAGGTCAAAAAACTGAGGACTACATCGCCCTAAGGCGGGGGGTCGTAAACATGCTTTGCCAAAGACACCTCAAAAATTGCTGAGCGACTGGGGGAGGACCAACTTTGCCTGAGGACGTGAAAAACATCAGGGTATGACAAAAAGTTCACCACAACCTATAATCTCAAACGGTCGATAACTCACGAACGGTATGACGAACTCGAAGAAAGTATCATCTTCGATAAGTCAGATACCCACGGTTTGGTTTTCCCTCATTATGATGCCCTTGTTATCACTTTGTGAATATTAGATACAAATGTGAGATGCATTATGGTAGATGATGAGAGCGGCGCGTGAATTATCCACCCTCGAGTGCTCGCACAAGTGAAACTCGAGGACAGGATAGTGCCGCATTGCATCACGTTAACAAGTTTTAACAATGCAGTTGAATGAACATCTGGAGAAATCACACTCCCCATCCTGGCCGGCGGCGTCACTCTGGAAATCACATTCCATATCATAGACTAGAATACGACGTAAAATGCCATAATAGGCCGACCCTAGATACACGTCATGAGGGACATCCCCTCCAGCTTGTACCAAATTATCAAATTTTCAACCCCATAGGAAATATTCAGCATACGATGAGAACAACACATATCTTGAGAATGCTACCGCATCGCCCTGGATTGTACGACCACTCAACAAAAAAAGGGCAAAGAAAAAGAGGCATATCAATTAATAGGGCCGAGTTCGAGTGTCGATGAAAGGGAAGATATCGTCAAAGACCTTGAAAAAATGGAAGCCGCGGAATGACCGTCGAAGACCTCGACCACATCCAACTAGATGGCAACGACCACAAAAAGAAAGCTTACATCGGTTGCAAGCTTCAAGAACCAGGTAAATTCTGTCAATTCTTTACTACTAACATGGACTTGTTTGGTTTTAGCCATGCAGATATGCCAGGTATCCCAAAGGAAATCGCTACACACAAATTGAACATCGACCCATTTCACCTCCCCGGTGAGGCAGGTTAGGCATAAGTTTAACTTCGCGATAAACGATGTAGTACATGAGGAAGTCAAAAATTTATTGAAAAATGGCTCCATCAGAGAGTCAAAATACCCACAATGGGTCGCCAATGTGGTCATGGTGAAAAAGAAAAATGGGAAGTGGTGAATCTGCATATCGATCAACTCATCGACGCAACGGTCGGGCACGAACTACTAAGTTTCTTGGACCTACTTTGGCTATAATCAGATCCTCGTGGAAGAAAAGGATTAGGAAAAAACCACTTTTATCGCCTATCAAGGAACGTACTGCTACAGAGTCATGCCTTTCAGATTGAAAAACGCAGGGGAGACGTACCAAAGGTTAGTAATAAAGATGTTCAAGGATCAACTCGGCAAGACGATGGAAGTCTACATAGATGACATGCTGGTCAAGTACCCTCGGCCAGGTTCATCTCTCATTTTGGCGCATACTGATTATGCTCCGCTTCTTTTTCAGCAAGGCCAAGGGGTTGGAGTTCACCCTTAACCACCTAATA